TGCGAATCTCCCACGACCTCCTCCTCTGCTCTTTTCTTCGTGAAGCATTCGTTTATTGAACCTTATGTATTAATACAAATTATTCACCAAGCAATGAATTTTAAACAAAATTTACTATTTCAGACAGCCAGACAGCCAGCCAGACAGACAGCTAGACAGACAGACAAACACACACACACACAGACAATATACGAACAATGGCACTCAATAAGCTCCGGTAAATTGGGAAAGAGTAGATTGACAAGGTCGTTACTGATGTTAGGATCCTCCAGCATGGGCTGCTGAAACAAACGCTGCATCACCTTCAAGTTCCTTATGTGCGCTCTCTCTGTGTAGAATAGCTCTAGGAAGGTTTATAAACGAAAAACTTATTTAGTTTAGTGTGATTGGAAGAGATGGATGGCTGCGAGTAGATGAATGAATGAATGAATGAACGAACGAACGAACAAACGAACGAATCAATGATTAGATAATTGTGGTTGGTTAATGAGTCAATTGCTTGTTCATACAGTCATACAGTTGATTATTTAGGCTATCTATCTATCAGCCTCCAGCTTTATACTTTGCATTCTTGGAGCAAATTCATCCATTCTTTAATTCACTAATATATTTATTTATTCATCCTTCTATCCATCAATCCATCTACTTATCCATTTATTCCTTCCTCCATTCTTCCATCCATCAACCTCCCTACCAAACCACCAGCCAGCCGACGAACCGTTAATAACTTCTTGGTGTTTCTTTTCCTTGGGCTTCATCTTCTTCAGCTGATCCCTGGATATGAAGGATTCCAGAGGCGGCAAATCATTGGGAACATCAAAATCCGGATCCAGGTAGATATTGAGGTTGGCGTTGTTACTACTGCAGCCACCAATACTACTGTTGTTGCTTAGTAGACGATGCTGAGGTAGCTGCTGCTGCTGCTGCTGTTGGGATAGCAGCAGGGATGAGAGGGAGTGCGAAATAAATGACTGTTGCTGCGGAAAAATCGAAAGCGTCGAATTTTGAGGATGCTGATAATGATGCTGGTGATGATGATAATGATGATGATGTTGTTGTTGTTGTTGGTGTGATGATGAGGTCGTCGTTGTTTGGTCTCCATCTCCCGACTGAACTCCCGAATGCTCCGAACTCCTGAACAGTGTGATTCATTAACATAATTTATTCATTTGCACAGTTTTATATATAATCAATAATAATAATAATAATAATAATAATAATAATAATAATAATAATAATATTAGGCCCCGCCTACTTAGTAGAGAGGCTGGAGTTGGACGAGCAACCCGAGCTGTCAGTCAAATTTGGCTGGTTCGGCTGGTTCTCAGGAGTTACGTCACTGCCAGGAATAAATTATGCTAATGAGGTGAAGAATATATAAATAAATTAGTTTTTGATTACGAAAAAATTATTATTATAATTAGTTAGTAGTATTAAAACTTGTTATAAGTTAATAAATTAATGAATAAATAAATAAGTTAAATAAAGAACTAAACAATTAATTAGTTAGTCAATTAAATCTTTAACTGATTAATTGACAGGAAACCGTTAGCTGAACTGAAAACACACAGCACATCACAAAATTAACTTATCAAAATTAATTAAACATTTAAAAAAGTTCTTTTAATAAAACGAACGTTAGCTAGAATCAATAAAAACACGCCACTCTAATAAGAACCAATTTTACAGCTAATCATTCATTTATCCATCCATCCATCTATCTATCCATCCATCCATCCATCCATTCATTCATTCATTCATTCATTCATTCATTCATTCATTCATTCATTCATTCATTCATTCATTCATTCATTCATTCATTCACTCATTCATTCACTCATTCATTCATTCACTCGTTCCTTCATGTGTATTTATGTGCCTAATTCTGTGTCTACAAATTTATGCTAAAGACATATTTGCAAAGGTCAAATGATACGTTAAAAAGTTACGCTATCTATCTACGAAAGGTGGTGTGTGTGTGCGTATGTGTATGTGCGCGCGCGTGTATGTGTAATATATGAGTGTGTGAGTATGAGTATGAGTGTGTGTGTGTGTGTTTGTTAAAAACGTCAGCATTATTATATGAGAGGTTAATGACTTTTCGTTTCATAATTTCCTTTCCTCTTCGCGATCCTAATTTAGTTGGAACTATTTTTAAAAGAATAATAATAATAATAATAATAACCAAATAATCATCCTCACAGTCACACATTCGTCGGATGTAATAAACAAAGATGGCAAACAAAAGAGAGAGTACAAGATGCTTTTTAATGCGAGGTTACAAAAATAGATTTAACGATTGAAAGAGTGAATGAATGAATGAATGAATGAATAGACGAATGAATGAATGAATAAACGAATGAATGAATGAATAAACGAACGAACGAATGAGCAAAGACAACATAAAAATGTTTATAAGAAAACCCATACATATCTTAAAAGATATCTTTCCTAAAACAAAAACAACAAGAATGATGCCAGCGCTGTACTTCAAATGCAATTTAAGCGCACACATACACACGCACGCACACACACGCACACACATATATACATACTTTCACTAATATGCATATATGCATGTAAGTATGAACACAAATACACATACATACATTCATAGATGCAGTTGTATAAACACAATCAATTATTTTATAGGTAGGAGAACAAGATATGAAGGTATATGAGAAAAGAAAGGGGCACGAGCAACTAGACGAGCAGCAGAGTTAAAAGCATTACTGAAAGGATTGAGTGTAGAATCACCAAGACCATAGTAGAGCGAGTTACAATAATCAATCCTAGATAAGACCAACGAAGTAGCAAGAAGGAGAAGAGTAGGATTGTCAAGAAAAGGCAAAAGTTTTTTATTCTACGTAGATGAAAGTAAGACCTTCTAGCAACACTATTAATTTGAGAAGAAAGAGACATGCTAGAATCAAATATAAAGCCTAGACTACGAAACTTGTAAGATAGGTACATCAAGAGTTTTAGAATCAGGTAAGATAATAGAAGAAATAAATAGTAATAGAGCGTTTAGATTTATTAAAACAAACAAATTCAAATTTAGAAGTATTAAGTTTAAGACACGTAGAGTCAGACCAAGCGATTGAAGAAAGGCATAGAGGTAGATTATGAAGAACACTATTGAGATAGAGATGTATAAACACACATATATAAACAGATATATACATACTCATGCACAAATTAAAACCATATTATACACACGCACGCACACACACACACGCACACAAAGATGCACTTACATCGTGCTTACATTAGCTGTTTGTTAATGAAACAAGAACGTGCGAATTGATAAGGAATCGAGTGAATTATTAAATGAATGCATGCATTATTGATTGGCGGACTGAGAGGGTGATTGATAAACTGATAAGTGAATGATTGATTGAATGATTGATAGACAGAATGAATAATTCATTGGTTGGCTGTTTGATATAATTGAATGAAAGAGTGCTGAGTTTAGATCATGATTGAACGAAAGAGAACAGAATGAATAAATAAATGAATGAATGAACAAGTTGATAAATGAATGAAAGATCAAACGAACAAATAAACAAATAAACAAACGAACACACAAACCGATGTAAGAACATAAGAACAAACACAGGTAAACGAACTATCAAACGAACGATCGAACGAAAATGAACAAAAACATTAATCAAAACAATAACAACATTCAAAACATAAACACCTACCGATCTTCTCTCTCTCTCTCTCTCTCTCTCTTTCTCTCTCTCACTCACACACACACACACCACACACACACACACACACACACACACACACACATACACACACACACACACACACACACATACACACATGCAACATGCACTCTAACTTACATTTGCAAATTCCATTTTTTGACTTTATGGCGTTCATTATTATTCGTAAACATACTAAAAGAACAATGTTTGTATGTTTGGTTTATTGTATGAATGTATGTGTGTAGTGTATGTGTGTGTATGTGTATGAATTGTGCGCGCGTGTGTGTTTTCCCGGCATAGAATTGACAGCAAGTTAAAAGCAATGAATAAATATTTTGTGGAAAAATAAATAAACAACATCATCATCGTCATCGTCATCACGTTTATAAATAGAATCGAATAGAAGTAGTAGTAGTAGTAGTAGTAGTAGTAGTAGTAGTAGTAGTAGTAGTAGTAGTAGTAGTAATACACACACACTCACACATATATACACACACATACCATACACACATATAAAAACACTACAAACACACGTACACACAAGCACACACACGCACAGAAACAAACAAACACACATTTACATACAATTAACATAATACATAATGTTTACAAATATTATTTATTATTATTATTATTATTATTGTTGTTGTTGTTGTTGTTATTTTTATTATTAACAACATCAATAACTATTACCTATGAGCTCTTCTGACATTAATCTTGCTGTCACCTTTACTCTGTAGACTCTCTGAACGATTGACGGAAGGAGACCAGCTAGATGAATGAATGAATGAATGAATGAATGAACGAATGAATGAACGAATGAACGAATGAACGAATGAATG